GGAGCTTATTGGGTGGCGGTGCTCGACAAGTTTCACGCTATTTTAAAGAAAAATATGTATCGCAACAACGACATGTTGAGCAGCAAATGGGGTATGATAAGTAAGCGGTGCAGCAAATTCAATGGTATTTACAACCGGATTGCGGCGCAACAACAAAGTGGAACCAACGACTTTGATTTGTTCAAAGCTGCGAAGGAACAATATCGGGTCGAAATTGGTCATGTTTTCGACTTTGAAAAATCATGGGAATTGTTGCGAGCGGATCCAAAGTGGAATAAAACGCCTACATCGTCGGAGGTTCAATCCAAAAGGTCTCGCAATTCTAGTTCGGTCGACGTGTCGGACGCACGGACTAACATCGACCTAAACGCCGATGATGATGAGATCCCGGATGATATCCAAGAGATATCCCCACCACGACGACCGCCCGGACGCGACAAAGCGAGGCGCGCTGCAAGACATGTGGAGGAGGTGGAGACGAGAGCAAAAGATGCGGCGGAAATGAGAGCGAAATTCGACGAACATAATTTGTTAATAAAAGAAAAAAATGAGTTGAAACGTCGTCATTTGGAATTTCTGGAAAGTTAGGCACGGGAGAAGCAGGAGCAAAAAGAAAGGGAACTAATGACACAACAGTTGTCAATTCTTCGGACAAGCGAGGATGGTTTAGCACCTGCTGATCTAGCGGTGCTACAAGCAATGAAGGAACAAATTAGGAAAAAATATTTGGGTTGATTGTGTGGTATTTAGTAGTGATTTCAATGTTATTTTAGTTATTAATTTAGGTTTAAAATTATGTTTTTTTAATTGTAATCGGATTTTAGATTTTAAATATTATGTCTTTTTTTTGTTTTTAAAATTATATGTTTTATAAAAAAAATATATTAGTTATTAAAAAAACGCAAAAAGAAAAAAAAAAAAACGAAAACAGAAAAAAAAAGTTAAAAAAAACGAAATAGTAAAAAAAAAATACAAAAAAAAAAATATTTATTTTCAAAATGTTGGTGTTACATCTTGTTGTATCTTGTTACCCATTTCCTCACTTGGTGTTATAACATCACTTGCTTATGTGGTATGTAAGGTAGTGTTGCATCTTGTTGCCCACACCCAATGCTTTTATAAAGATGAAACGACTTCCACAAGATTCAACCTTTACGATGCTTATGTATCAAATTGTTATAAAAAAAAAAAAAGCTTCACGTGGCTCTTCCATTCTCTCAAGCATTTTATCACACACCTTATCTTATCAGTCATTAAACCCTTCATATAAAACCCTTTTACAAGTAATACCATTCATACAACTTTTTACAAAAAAAAAAAAAAAAAAAAAAAACACATGAAAAAATATCAATACAAAAATGTAATGATGTTGATAACCAACTAAATAACCGCAAGAAAATGGTTATTATTTATAATAATAATCATCGTCGAGCTTCAATTACAGAGGTTTAGACCGGTTAATTTCTTACATTTTCTTAACTTTAACCAACTCATAAATCGACATACACACATATCATATACCCAAACGCTACAATAAATTTGGTTCGAAACAAAATGAGCTATATGTAACAATGAAACAATATTTCTAATCTCATAAAAGGTGAGAATAAGGAATAGATCTGTAAAAGATATGTTATGTACTTATGTATATTATGCGATGAATATTATTATCAGGTTAATAAAATACCGATAATATGTCCATGATTTTACATTTTTTAGGTATTATCATTTTCCTTTTTGAATTTGTGAAAGAAGAAATGATAAAGCCATTGTTAGAAAAAGTAATTGGATTGAGTGGAAAAATCAAAACCTGATGCATAGAATAAGAACACTTGGCAACAATTATTTTACTTGTTTATTAGCAAAGTTATAGTTGAATTTGATATACTCCTTTTAAATTTTAAAATATTATATTTGTACAGTTTAATTTATTAATATCATATTTACTTTTTTTATTTTTGTATGAATCTTCAAAATATCATATTTGTTCAAATCCTTTTTAATAATGTTTTTAAAATTTTATAATTATTCTTTATACCTTAGATTATTATAATAATTAAAAATTTTAACCATATTATCCTTACGTTTATGATAATGAAAATTTTAAACTTATAAATTGTTTGAATGTTGTACTCTTGACAAACAAAAAGATTTATCTTCAGACCTCTCTATTGAATGTATATTTTGATTGTTTAGTTTTTGTTGTTGTTGATTATTATCATGTTGTAGATGAAGGATTACCATTGATATTTTGATGTTTAAAAAGTACATATAAGATATTTTGATATTTAATAAGAGCATATATGATATTTTGATGTTTAAAATGATATATATGATATTTTGAAATTTTATGAAGGATAAATATGATATTTAAAAATTAATTTGAATAAATATTATATTTTGTTTAAGAAAAACAAAAATCAAATTGTCACTATAAATATTTACTCCAACTCTATGTCGACCTTTATTACTTTATAATATTAGCTAGTGTTGGAAAAAATAAAGCCGCGTTTGAATTATTCAATTCATTTTAAATCATGTGAGTTGGTAATATGTTTGAATAATTCAATGCATCATAGATAATGCTAATTGTAGGTAAGATATCTCCGGTTTTCTTAATAATCAATTAATTAAATTATAACTAGGGTGTTCACTATCAAATTGAATTATAAACTTTTGAAAATCTCTAAGAATCTACAATCCTTGTTATACGTTTTTAGATCAACTAATATAATAATAAGTAAAAACATGAAGTATAATCACATAAATATGACAAATATCCTACCGCAATTATATCTGATGTTTTAGTTTAAAACTTATTTGGATTAATATTATTAAACATTGTATCCTTTTCATTTAAAAAAACAAACCATAAATTACTAAATTGATTTTGATATTATAAACTATAAATATACTCTATATATATCATATGCAATTTCACATCAATGAAAAAATATTATTTAATTATTCGCCGCATGACGACTTTCAGCATAATAAAATTTTTACAAAATTTATTTCAACGGTATAACCAAATCCAACTTGTAGGCCACTGTTACAATTAGCAATATAATATATTATTGCTACACTCTAATTATCGTAAAAGTGACATTAAATTCAGTCAATTAAATTTATTGTGTACGAAGTTGCGACGTTAACAATTTATAATTAATAAAAAGGTTGTCTTTGATCTATTTTGAGATCTTGTTGAGGAATCGTGAATAAGCGTGGAATTTATCATCATATATGAAAAAACAATATTCTCTCCAAGTACGACTTTTGATTGTCTTTGTGCTTTGTGTTATCTTCATGATACAATTTTGAGTTTTGACTTAAACGATTTCATTAGTAAGTTCATCGCCCCTCCTAAAGCCCAACATGTATAGGTTAATGCAATTTTTAATAAAATTGTCAAAGACATTGAAATACATTTCGACATAACTATTAAGAAAACAATTTTTAAGTGTATATGGGTATCCCATGGCCATGATTTTCTTATTGTATTCATATCGATGGTCTTGGCCTAAATATGTCATAGTGAAATATCATGCTATCCTGAAATATCCCTTTTGTAATCCCTTTATTTTCGATTGCATGTCCTGTTGTCATGCACATGCACGGTCAACTGTACCTTTGAAAAACTAAGCAAGTGTTTAGGGCTACCAACTCTAAATGACCTCCAATTATAAAGTTTATTCTATTAATTATATATGTATATATACATATTTATTGGGTTATAAAAAAGTTGGAGTTTGATCTGGTGGTAAAAGTGTTGGTTTATCAAACTAAGGGTCTTAGGTTTGAATCTGTTTGCTTACCTCTCATTTCTTTTATTTTGGAAGCTACTTAAACGTATCCAACATCACTCATGGATAAAACTCAGCCAACTCTCCTTTCTTAGATATGTTTGACCATCCTCTTGCTTCATATTAACTCTACCTTCTAGTCTCACATCGGCTTGGAGATCAAAACTTCAGCAAACTTCTTGTTTATATAAGTGATTAGCATAGATGCATTAAGAAAATAGTTTGGGATTTGGTTCAAGTTGTAAAATCGAAGGGTTCTAATATTTTTGTTTGCTTAAATCCCCCAAATTGCTTGAGCCGTCCATGTTGTCACAAAAGCATGTTTGGACTCTTTTTGGGTTTTTAGGAGCAAACAATATATTGTAGAGAGCTTTTGGGCTTCAAATACCAATACGATCTAGTTATGGCCGTTCTATTTTGACAAATTTAGGCACTTCAGGGTTACTACCAATAAAGAAGCACATGTGAACTTCTTCACCGACCTATTGGAAAGAAGATCAATGTTTAGACCAACTGATGTTTTAGTTGTTGGATGGACATGAGGGAAACACACATGTACGGATCTTACATAGGTTTTCCTTCTTGTGGGCCTGAAGAGTGAGGTTTTCACTGTAAGATAGATTGCTTTAAAAATTCTCTCTTTCAAAATGACAAAACATAAGAAAATATACATGAAAATCGACACACGTTGACACTGTTCGCATTTGATATTTTGGTTTCCTTGCGTCAAATGTTGTGAAGCTCTTTAATAAAATTCAATTGGTCATGCATAGTAATATTATAACCCAAAAATTTATGGATGCGACTTTTAAAATTATTGGTTTTGTCATCTAGAATAAGTTAGTGACCCTACTTGTTATCCGTTATTCGTTACATGTAGATATAACTTTTATTAATCGTAATATTTTATTACGTATTTCTACGGTAACGTTTCTATTAAAAATTTCTAAAAACCTATTGTTTTCGATAAAAGACAGCGCAATTACTTTTTTTTATAGTATCCGAAGAATAGCTAAAAGTTTGAAGAGTATGGATCGATCATGCTTGAGAATATCATGATCATTTATAAGAAATTTAGTTACTATGTATACATAGCATTTAAAGCAAGTAGCAAGATGAAAAAAGCCAATCCAAAGGTGACATGAATTATATTTTATGATCCTTCAAAAAAAGACATGAATTATATTTTAAAAGTTGAGGTGAGACAAATTAGCCTGATTAAGGAAGAGAATAATTATTCTGGAAATCAAACATCAAACATAATTAATTTACGTGTGGTTTTTGTAAATTTATTGTAATATCAAATCCAAACAACTTACAAAAGGATACAACCGGACTAATGTCCATAAATATAGTTGACGAAGGCAAGAATTAAAACCATATATTTTTTTCTCTTATGGGTACTGACAAACCAAACCGTGTCTTATTGAACCAAAACATGTAGATCCCATATGACTCAGTACGCTTCAGGATGAGCAATGGCGTAGGCTTCAAACCCCTTAAAGCTCTTCTTAAATCCTTCTTTCATAAGATTGATAGTTTCCTCAGGTACAGTATTGTCGCCTTTGCAGGTAAACACCACCGTGTGCTTGTATACGGATCCTCCATCAGAAGAAGGTACAAACTTTACATGATGATTGGCAGATTCTACTATGCCCATTAAGACATCACCTTCAAAGATGGTGTATGCTGAGCTATAGTTGGTTACGTCAACTGAATCAACCTTGTGCTTTGAGCTTGTGAATGGGACAGCTGTGCATGGGTTGTAGAATTGTTAGGGAGTAATAAGTGACAAATTTACTAGACATTAAAAATTAAGATCATTTTGTGATCATATGATGAGTTATTTCGAAATCAAAACAAACAAAAATCAAATAGTCACTTATGTAATTAATTGTGCAGTTACTTACCTTCACCGTATGTAATGGTTTTGATCGTTCCAACACCACCATCACCTTGGATGATATCGATGGCTTTGTATGTTTCAGGTTCAAGTTTAGGTGCAAGGGTATCGAAGTCACTAAAGACCTTGAAAAGTTTGGAAGCAGGATATGAGGAAGCAACCTCGAGCTCTACTGTAATAACAGCCATCTTAAGTTATCTTTGGAGAATATATAAGAAGATGAATGATTTATGTTGTAATGAAATATGGGTAAAGATGGTGGTATTTATAGGGTCGGAGGGTCGGAACAAGAGAATTAAAATATATAATCCGCATTCCAGTATTGACTTACTCCACATGGATTACTTTAAAAGCTAATTAAGGATTTACACATTATATAAAGTATACAATTAAATAATCCTGGGATAGGTGAATAAGTAAAGTTGTTAGTGGGCTATATGTTGAAAACTTGTTCCTGACCGATGGAATTCGAATCTCTTCGCTCTACAACTTTTTTTATTTTTTGTTTATGCTCGATTAAAAAATTATTTATGAAGATTTAAATATTAAATATTTTTTAAGAATTTTTTTTTTAAAAAAATATAATCGAAATGACGAATAAATAAGTAATTTAATATATACTAATAAAAAAATTATAAAAATTGTGTTTAATATCATAACGTAAACATTAAACTTTTTTAAGAAATAATAAATAATCAGCGATGAAGATTAAGGTATGATAAAACGATATTTTTAACAAATAGTTAAATTAATAGTAATTCAATACAATAACGATTTAAATTGTAATAATAGAAGTCATGACAAACTTATAATTCATAAATTTGATGTTTTATATTTTGTATTTGGTATAATGAATATGTAAAAGTGAAGTTATGTTCGTATGGAACGTCTATCTGTTAAGATATGTAGATATGTATGTTATATTTCGGATATTATGTAATAATTAATTGGAAGACAAAAATAATGTAACTTTCTATTATCAATAAAAGTATGTAATTTAAATAAAAAAAAATGATAAAAAAAAATACTTTTGTACTGTTCAATGCATTTTTAATAACTGTGATACAAGAATGAAGTTACACCGTCCGATGTTTTCGTCGTCGGCTGGGGTGTGACATTAGGAAGTTTCTCGTTGCCTTTCTCAGGGATTCTTCAAGTTCTCCGTGGTTGCGGAGAATTTAAGAATTTTTCAGACTGTGAGTACAAAGCAAGTTACCATTAGGCTTATGTTTTCATGAACACATATGTTGTTCTCTTAGCAATATGTTGTGGGGGTAAGGAACTCTTTGTGGTCAGTAGATTCTTTTGGAAACACAAAGGATCTTGAGGAAGGATTGTTTGAGTCATACAGGTTGCACATCAGATAAAGAGAGCATGGTTAGCTTATAGTATGATATGTTATCCTTGGATGAGATGAGTAATTGTTGATCTGTTGATAGGCTTCTGAGTTTGATAAGAGCATTTTAGCATGGGCTTTGTTCAGTATGTATTGGATCAGTAGGTTTAATTATCGATCTGTTTCTGATTAACAGGTTATTATACCACTTATCAGCATTTAGGAGTCATTCGAGGGCCTCCGAGCAGTAATAATTGAATGTATGGTTCGTGCATCGACCCTTAATTATAGTCTTGTCATTGGTAGAACTAGGGTTCGGGTAGTATGTACCCTTGTTGGTTTGGTTGAGTGTAACACTCTAAATTTTCAATTACATTTGTTTCATTTTTAAAACCACTTAAACACATTCTCATATTTCTCAAAAACCACAAAATTTATAAGTTCTTCAAAACACAAGACAACAAATGTTTGATAATATCCTAGAATCCTCAAAACAAAATCTCTAGCTAGTGTATACAATCAAGTCGGCGCCATCCCACGATCCTGAGAGGTACCTGAAACACATATCAGACAACATTGTAAGCATGAAGCTTAGTGAATTCCCGAAAATACCACATACATAAATAATAAGCCTCTCATTGCTATAGCTTGGCATGGACCCTCCGGTCATGCGTCTCGGTGACGACCCTCCGGTCTCACAGCTCGATATGGACCCTCTAGTTATGTGTCTCAGTGAAGACCCTCCGGTCTCACATCTCAGGTTGGATCCTCCGGTCCCGTATCTCAGTGAAGACCCTCCAATCTCATAACTCGGTTTGGACCCTTTGGTCCTAACTCAGTAAGGCGCAGAATAATATATAGCATAAATCACAAAGACAAAATGCATAATATCACATAACTCAATATAAGCACATAAAACCCTCCGGTCAATAACTCAAATACGACCCTCCAGTTACACAATATTACCACTCGCGTAAGTATAGCGAGAAGACTCACCTCGTAAGTTAGCAAGTAGGTCTCGTACTCAACGATCGATTTAGACTCTACCTACATATCATAATCATCTCTAATTAACACTTTATAACAACAAATCTAAAATGTCAGGCTACCTATTTTCTAATTCTCAGAAAAGGTGAAAGACCATTTTACACCTCCATGTTCTTTATAATCCATGTCTTGACCAAACCCTAAAAGTCAACGGAAGTCAACACTCGAGTCAACAGTCCATGTTGACCAAACTCGTTGAGTGCATCTACACGACTCGTCGAGTTCCTTCGTTTTCTATGAAGTATAAGGAAAATCCAACTTAACTCGTCGAGTTCTCTCACCAACTCGTCGAGTTGTAATGCGTCCAGACTATCAGGGAAACCCCTAGCCAACTCATTGATTTGGCTCATCAACTGGTCGAGTCCCTTTAGTCCATTCTCTCATTTAGATGTTTTTAAGTAGAACTAAGTCCCCATACTCTAGATCTATCCTTCTAAGGCTGAAGTATCATGTAAAGTTGCAAGCTTTACGTCTATGCACTACAAGAAAAAGACCCTTTTACGACGCGCAAACAACGACACTCGGAGATATAAGTTACGCAAAAGAGAGTAACGTTAAATAAGTGTCATCTCTTCAAAAAATTTAAGGATTTAGGTCGCGCATTATTGCGTGCCCTTAAATTAGTGTCTAATGTAAAAAAATAAAAAACACGGAGGGCACTTTAGCTAAAAGGTGCGCCGTCTATGAATGTCGTTTTATATTTTTTTAAGAAACGCGCTTCTCACTTCTCCTTAGAGGGAAAATGAAATCCCCAAATTTTTTAAACCCCCGCCTTCTTCTCCCTCGTCTCCACCCTCACCCACATCCATTGCCTCCAATCCTCGTTGCCTCTTCTAGTCTCAAACCCGATCCTCGCGTTAAATGGTTCAGTGACTGCAACTCCTTTCGATTGTAGCGCTGATCGACAACTACGACTCATCAACCGTCAATCGAAGCTACCTGTTGAACAACCCCTAATCAAAACCTCAACCTTCTCGTCTCTCCTTCCCCCAAAATTTTGAACATCCGCCTTCCTCTTCCTCTGTACTCTCTACACCCGCCATATCGATTTCATTCTCTCCCTTCCTTCTCTCTACAAACCCCTTCCTCTACGATCGACTTTCACTCCTTCTCTATGCAAACCCTAATCAGACATAACGCATTTGCAATGGTAATATCTTCTTTCACAAAATAGACGATTGACCGAAGAACTAGGGCTTTTGATGAATCATGCATTACCAACAACGATAGCTACCCATCATAATTTGTGTTTTCTCTCGGACTCCACCATTCCAACATCGCACCACAACAACGATTCCAGCCACGAATCAACAGTTTTGAGTTTTTTGGCTTCAATTTTGAAGGTACGTAGACATGATTTTAAAGTTCTGAACTTTTTTCTTTCCTATGCTACCACTTCCCCCCTTTCCTTTTTATTTCACTCTCCTTGTAATTACCACTAAATTGAGATAGAGAGTCGGTCTATCGATTAATCAACCATGGTGGATGATTTGGTGTAACTATCACCTGTTATATTTTTTTGAATTTTTTTGTTCGAACAATGCATGCCAACTGTTCGTTGAATTGCTCAAACGAAACTTCCATCACAAAAAATGAACCGATGGTCTACTTTTTTGTCCAGATTGCCCAGAGAGTGAAATATTAGCCGTCGGGATGGCACCTTATGCTCATCTGGCGGTTTATAAAGTATGTTTTGGTCTAGATTGGCCAGAGAGTGACATCTTAACCGGGCTTGATGTTGCAGTAGCTGATGGAGCTGATGTGATATCAATTTCTATTGGAGAAGAAAACATGCCTTTTTTTCAAGACAACATTGCAATAGCCTCATTTGCAGCTATCCAAAAAGGAATATTTGTGAGTTGTGCAACAGGGAACTCAGGTCCGTTCAATGGCACTGCAACAAATATAGCTCCATGGGTTCTAACAATTGGTGCTAGCACAACTGACAGAAAAATCAAAGCCACAAAAAAACTAGGAAATAATAAGGAATTTGATGGTGAATCTTTATTTCAGCCAAAAGGCTCCCCTTCTTCTACACTTTTACCACTCGTGTATGCTGGTTCTAATGAGTAGTTAGTATGATTTGAATTGAACCTCCTTCTTCCAATCGACTGGGCGTGTGATCAAAAAGTTTCGAGGTCACGACAGTGAGGTGTGTAATTTCCCTAACAAACCAATTTATCAATCACATAACACATATTTATAATTTCACAATCATAACACCATTTTTGTGCAGGTGAATGCAGTAAAGTTCAATGAATATTCATCTGTTGTTGTATCAGCAGGGTATGATCGTTCCTTACGTGCCTGGGACTGTAGATCTCACAGCACTGAGCCAATTCGGGTTTAGCTTTCTTTCCCTTTCCCTTTCCCTTTTCTACATCTACGTTTGTACTAAGTTTTTTTATATATATATTTATATTATCAAAAGCTGATGATAGTTTTAATTGATTCACAGATCATTGACACCTTTCTAGACAGCGTTATGTCTATCTATTTAACAAAAACTGAGATTATTGCTGGAAGTGTTGACGGAACTGTACGGACATTTGACATCCGGAATGATGGAACTGTATCTCTCTATCAAATGATGGTAACTGTGTATTAGCTTGGAGCACAAGAGCATTGAATATTGATGTGACCACCATGCAGTTTGAAAGGAGTAGAAAGAGGGGCATAACAGTCTTTTCAGATTATGCTTGGAGTAGTGGAGATCAAGTTGATGTTTGGGTACAAGATAGGTAACCATTTAACTCAACTCATTACATTTTCAATCGTTAATACTTATTAATCATCACAAACTCTATTTTTTTACTGTTTTTTGTAGCTGGCATGAAGCAATTGTTATGGACACAAATAAGATTGATTTGACTTCTTTAACTGTCCAGTTTCCTGGTAGGTATTGTTATCTGACTTTTCCTTCAAAATTTATAAATTGTGTTGAGTTTTTACCTTTTTTCCCTTTCCAGCTCAATCAAAGGCATCAATTGTTAGGTCATGGCATGTGAGGCCAACTCTTGTCTGGAAGGATGACAAGTAGATTGAGTGGTCTAGTTTGAAAGGACTCCATTCTTCTGAGGTTAGCTACTATCTCTTTTCCCCATTAATTTGGTTTCTTAATTTTTTTATATAAAATATGTATATATATTCCTAAAGGCTAAATCCAATCCTCTCCAATCTACTAGAAAACCACCAATTCCAACGATTGTCAGAACTTTAGCTCAAAAGGACAAATAAAAACCCTCTCTTAGTGATAAAAATGTCAAGGATTCTTCTGTTAGTGCTGATGAAAACATGCCAGGTCAGCAGCAAAAGGATATGGGGTTTGGTTCTTCTTTTCCCCATTTATTTGGTTTCAATTTATGTTCACAAGTTTAATAAATTCTCTAGATTTAAAAAGAAGTATTGCTATTTAGTGTGCCCTTTAACTGACCTATTACTATTGTAGATTGAGGAAGTAAGTCATTCAGTGATTCAAAATATGGAAAACATGTCTAAATTGCTTTACTACTTTTTTTCAAGTTTCTTTTCTTCATATCATGTCATCTCTTCTATTTGTTTCAGTCTTTTACCACTTTATATTCCTGTCATATTCAGTCTTTTAACATCCAATTATCATCTTTGAGTATTGGGTTTTCTTTCTTTTTTGCTGCTGTGTTACCCTGCGTTAGGCTTTATAAAATGAATTTCTTTGCTGAAAATTGTGTATAATTTTTGTTAGAGCTTCTTTGGGCAGTTGGAGAAGGACATCTTATCTTTAGGTACTACATAAAATGGTGTTTTTATCTCTGATGATTCCCCTAACTTTTTGTTGTTTGATGATTTTATGGACCCAAATAGAGAAGAAAAAAGGTACATTTTTTTTTATTTTTCCACATTTACCCTCCATGATCAATGAAACTAACATCATCCAATATCTATAATATACTTCATTATCTGGAAATAGTAAGACCACATCAATTACTGGATCAAATGGTGTGTACTGCTTTCAGAGTTGCAGCTGACACTCTTAACCAGACTAGCTTATGAGAATAAAAATCGACCAATTATACTTCACCGTTGTTTCTGCATTGAAGCCTTTGCAAGGTATGTGTAATGTCTTATTTACAATTTTTTGACACAAGGGTAAAGTAGTCATTTTTTTAATCTGACTTATTGCATTGGCAACAAACAAGCTACCGGGTGATATGGAAATAATCCAAGATGTAAAACGGCTTTGTGTTGTATTCGAACACGTGGAGAAGCTGCTAACACTTGGCAGTGGCAGTGGGAAAAATAAATTGGAAGCAAGCATACCAGATCAGCATCAGGATCTGAGGAAGGCATCATGATATTAACTTCAGTTGCTTTAGTAGTTGTTATAGAAGTTTTGCCTTTTCTATTCAAAATTATAACTTAAAAACACCACCTGTTCCCTGTTTTCTAGCTTGTATTACTGTTGTTGGCTTCCAAATGAGGCCTTAATTGTCATAAACATTCTACTGTTAGATTTGGCCCTAATTTCTTTAATAGTCAACGATAGTGGGGTAGCATATTGAACTATTTGCTTAAAAAGACATTATATCTTGTCCAATTTATATTTGAATTCAAGTTATGCATAATGTCAATATTGTTGGATTAATAAATACATTATACCTAAAGAATAAAGATTGTATGATGAAAGAAAGATTGTAAATTACCAACTATTGGTTTATCATTTGCTGAGTTAACCTACATTTTTTTTTCTGTAGTTTTATCTTGTTTCTGATATAGCCGTGAAAGAACTCATTGCAGTTGCCACCAACAGAGAAGGTAAGCTATAATATGCCAAAGTTGAATTACTTTTTAAGAAATAGCAACCTACTTTTAGTTATTTGTTTATTATATCAAGATACAACATCAGATTCAAAAAGTGTTGTAGAGCTAACAAATGGTTCTTCAGGTATGCAATACTCTAGGCATAATTATAATATAAAACTATAAAAAATTTAATTTTTTGATATATATTTTTTATTTTGTTTTGCAGAGGATACTAAAGAGCAAATCTTGCAAAGGATATTTTTTGTTTTGTTTTGCAGAGGATACCCCTCACATTTTCCCAAATTACCCCTTCCTTTACAATGTTTTTTTTGTTTATGTGTATTTTGTGCATCAGGTAAAGTTGGTGGAAGAAAGGAATATGAAGCCACTTGATTCAAATCTTGCAGCATTAGTCTTAAAGAATTATGAAAGGCAAGATGCAACTTTACTTAGTTGGAATTTGATGTAGAGAGTAGATTAGATGCAAATTTAGATATTGTAAAAAATAGAATTGTATGACATTAAATTTTATGCAATGGATTGTATTTTTTGTATATGATATTTTATTTCTATTATGAGACATTAAATGCAAATTTAATTTAAAAATTAATAAATATATAAATATTTTTTTTAGAACATTTAAAATTATGATACGCAAAATTGTGTGTCATCTTCATTTATGACATGGCCTTTCTTGACAGGGGCTTCCTTGATACGCATTGCGTGTCATAAACACGCGCGTCGTAAGGTTACGACACGCAAATGCGTGTCGTCTACCTTTATGATAGGGCCTTCCTTGATACGCAATGCGTGTCATAACCGCGCGTCGTAAATGCGCGTCATAAATGCGCATCGTAAATGCGCATCGTCTATAGACGACGCGCAAAAGCGCGTCGTCTCTCTTTATGACAGGGCCTTCCTTGACACGCATTTGCGCGTCGTCTGAGCGTTTTACGACACGCAATGAGCGTCGTAAAAGGCCTTTTTTCTAGTAGTGATGCATGGCATCTAGGGCGCAAAATAACAAAAACAAGCTCTATAGAGGGTTTAATTCATGAAAGCTAGCCAATAGCTTGATAAAGCTTGAATCTTTAGGCTCAAGGGACCCCATACTGTCCAAATGTGAAATGGCCATAAACTCCCTAATGAAGAGATCTAACCAAACAATGATCAAGGTGATAGATTTTTACCTCCAAATAGCAGCTAGCACAGAAAGAACACTGGATCCAAGGGCTCTTTCTCGTTCCAAGCCTCTTGCTCCTTAATTTTATTCCAAAAATGCACTAGATCATACAATCTTAGCCTCTCTCTCTCTCTATCTCTCTCTCTCTCTCTCTCTAAGATGAATATAGATCGATTAGGTTTCTCTTAGTGTGTCAAGGTGATAAGGGAAGAAGAAATGAAGGCTTAAAGTCCTTTAAATAGGGTACAAACCCTGAAAATTAGGGTTTTCACACTCAGATCCTACTCGTTGAGTTGGGGTCCTCCAACTCGTCGAGTAGACTCTAAAAATTATGCGGCCAATTTAACTCTCTACTTGCCAAGTTGGGGCCTCCAACTCATCGAGTTGATCTGACAACATGAATATAAATTAATTAAATATTATACCTGGGAGTCGGAATGTTACAATTCACCCCCACTAAACCAAACTTCGCCCTCGAACTCATCCCCCGGGAACAACTCTGGGTACTACTCCCGCATCTCGGACTCTGGGTCCCAAGTCCACTCAGATCCCTTCCGATGCTGCCACTGAACCTGAAACAAGGGCACCTCTTTATTCCTAAATACCTTCACCTTCTTATCCAAAATTGCCACCGGCTTCTCAATGTAGTTCAGGCAGTCATCAACATGAATGTCCTCTACAGGGACACATGGAAGGTGTTATAAATCTGGCTCAACTCTGCAGGCAGCTCTAACTGATAAGCTACCTTACCCACTCGAGCGATCACTCTAAAAGGGCCAATGTATCTAAGGCCCATCTTTCCCCACTTCCTGAATCAGATCACCCCTTTCCATGGGGATACCTTCAGGAGGACAAAATCTCCGACCTGTAACTCTAGATCGGATTGTCTCTGGTCCGCATAACTTTTCTGATGACTTTGAGTCATCAGTAACCTCTTTATCGCTTGCTAGATCTACTCTGTCATATTGAGTACTACACCGGTGCTCCCCATTACTCTCTGCCTTACCTCTACCTAACATATGGGAGTCTGGTACCTCCTCGCGGATAAAAGCTCAAAGTAAAGCATACCTTTACTGGAGTGATGGTTGTTATTGTATGAAAACTTAGCCAA